TGTAGACAAGTTATTTATATTGAAATAAAAGAGAACGTTGTTTATGTCTCGTCCCCTAATGAATTACATGCTACCCTATGACATATGAGGTTATGACACATTAATATCAGACGAATGGAAATATTAAAAAGAGACGGAATTATTCAAAATTATAAGGGAGATTTATCGAACGTGTGCGAGTCCTGAGTGCAAGGAAAACTAATAAAGAAAAATACCACCAGGGCAAAAAGAGTTACAAGCATATTGAAAATCATTCATAATGACATATGTGGACTTATGAATGTAACCACCAAAAGTGAAAAAAGATATTTTATCTCTTTTATAGATGACCACTCGCGATATGACCGTGTGTACCTTATTCATGTAAAATCAGAAGCCTTAAAAAAATTCAAAGAATATAAGGCCTAGATAGAGAATCAAATCAACCTGAAAATTAAATTCCTTAGAACTGATAGAGGGGGGGGAATATTTATCTGACTTTTTCAAAGAATTGTGCATTGAAAATGGGATCATCCATCAGTACATCATGCCTTATACTCTTGAACAAAATGGTGTAGCTGAGAGAAAGAATAAGACCTTAGTGGAGATGGTAAAGAGTATGATGGGGCATGCAAATCTCTCATTGGAGTTTTGGAGAAAAGCCGTATTAACGGCATGTTACATCCTTAACCGGACTCCCACAAAAGCTGCCCCACTTGCTCCTCACGAAATTTTCACAGGTTGTACTCCCTCCCTTGAACACCTGAAAGTTTGGGATTGCTCAGCCCATATCCTTATCCCACATCAAAATAGAATCAAATTGCAACCCAAAACTGTCAAATATATTTTCATTGGTTACCCAGATCATGGTAAGGGGTATCGATTCTACAACCTTGAAACATGTACGGTTATTGAAAGTCACGATGCTCACTTCTTTGAGGTAGAGTTCCTTGAAGCAAGGTTGAGTAGAAAATAAGCCAACTTTTATGAGGAGGCTAAAAACAAAGATGTAGTTCGAGACCCTGAATCTGAAACTTCTAAACCAACCTAACTTATTCCTGTACTCCATAAAGAAAGTGAACATTTACCTGAATCAAGACAAAGTAACCGAGTCAGTAAACCACCTTTTTACTTAGAACATTTTGTCTACCTTGAAGAACATTTTGATAAGGTCGGGGAAGATCCAAATTCAAAACCTAGAACTCACCATGAAACATTGACCTGTCTTGAAAAGGAACACTGGGTAGAAGCCACGAAAGATGAGTATGCTTCCATTAACGAAAACCATGTATGAGAATTAGTACCTCTACCTAAAAAACGTAAGGCTATTGGTTACAAGTGGATTTTCAAAAAAAAGGTGAACTCTGAAAAGAAAACAAAAAAATACAAAGCTTGGTTGGTTGCAAAGGGTTTCACCCAGAAGAAGGGATAGATTATGAGGAAACTTTTTTCCATGTTGCTAAATTTCCATCCATCTGAATCCTTATAGCTATCGCAGCCCATTTTGACTTTGAGGTTCATCAAATGGATGTCAAAACAGCCTTTCTAAATGGGGATTTAGAAGAATAAATTTACATGACCCAACCTGAAGGATTTGGAAAGAAAGGGAAAGATAACATAATATGCAAACTTAATAAATCCCTTTATGGCCTGAAACAAGCATCGCGACAGTGGTATATAAAATTCTAAGAGACCCTTGCTCTTGCAGGGTTCTCCACAAATAATGAGGATTATTACATATATCAAAAGGTCAGTGGAAGTGATGTGGTCTTTATATTGTTATATGTGGATGATATGTTAATTGTTAGTAGCTCAATTGCCTTAGTAGTAGAGACGAAAAATTTTCTTGCACAACACTTCGATATGAAGGATCTTAGAGAAGTTTCATATGTGTTGGGCATCAAGATAATAAGAAACAGGAGAGATAAGACTATCCAACTTTCCCAAGCAACCTACATTAAGAGGATTTTGGAAAAGTTTGATATGAGTAAGTGTAAGCCCATGTCTACCCCAATTGACAAAAAAACGAAACTTAGTAATAAGATGTGTCCTACCAAAGACATGGATATAAGAGCCATAGAGGGAGTGCCATACAAGAGCGTAGTTGGGTCCCTTATGTATGCCATGAAGGGAACAAAGCCTGATTTGTCTTTCGTCATGAATCTGATGAGCCGTTTCCAAAGTAATCCAGGAGAGGTGCAGTGGAAAGCTGTAAAAAGAATTCTCAGATATTTAAAGGGGACCATGAACTATGCGCTCACATATAGGGGGGAACTGAAATAGCAATAGAGGAATATTCAGATGCAAGCTATCTCGCAGATCCAGATGATGCGAAGTCTACATCTAGGTATGTGTTTATGCTTGGAGGGGATGCGGTTTCTTGGAAGTCAAAGAAACAAGATATTGTGGCCTTGTCTACCATAGAATCCGAGTATGTGGCATGTTGTTTAGCAACCAAGGAGGTCATGTGGATTAAAAAGTTTCTTAATGAACTTAATTTTCATCATGTACGTTGTGAGGTAGTGAGAATTTTCTACGATAACACTGTGGCTATTTGTGTCTCTAAGGAGCCTCGGTTTCACAAGAACTCCAACCATATTAAGCTTTATTTTTATCACCTGAAAAATGAGGTGAGATTGAAGAGATCGAGATCAGCTACATATCTACAGATTTGATGATTTCATACCCTCTGACTAAGGGAGCTGTCCCTATTGTTTTTGTAAGACATGTGAGAGAAATGGGGATGAGAGAAAGCAAGGAAGAGAGAATGTTAGGCCTTCAAAGGCCAAATGGAAGATGTTGGGTTTATGTGGCCTTTAAAGGCCTTATGAGTGTGTAATGAAAAACATTTACTATAGTGGAACATAAACTCAGTGGGAGTGTGGTCCTTCGAAGACCAGACTAAGCAAATAATATTTGTGGATAACGGACTGTGCTTGACGATTTAGGCCAATCAGTTGAAAAACCCAAGGTACCTGAGCATAAAAAATTAACCGAGAAGGGTTTTTGGATTAGCCCTTGATGAGGCCGAAGGTTATGCCTAGATGAGTGAGCTGAGGAACTGTGTGACCCGTGTGTGTAATGGTATGCCTTCAGAGACGGGGGCCAAAACCTCATTCTTGTTCCATCACACGATATGCATATAGATAAATCGTTCGAAAAAGCTAGATATTTACCTTTGGGTGAAGCATATGCATGTGCGGGAGATACCCCTATGCGTCATAGAGCTGTGGTCGCATTAAGTTGTGGTGACATTGACTTGTCTTTAGGGGAGGACCTGTAATCCACAGACTGAGATTGCGACCCCTTGATTCATCGACCTGACTTTGGTAACCCGCTAATGAGCCCCTGCTTGGACTGTGGGTCATGGGAAACACTGGGTCGGTTCGATAAAGCTAGTGTGGTCTGTAGTCCACAGTTAAAGGTGGAGTACCCCCATTACATATTGAATTCTTAAAACCATATGGATCTTTTTCCCATCATATTAATTTAATTGTGTTTATTTTATTATTGAAATGATTTTAGTTTTATTATTTGAATTTTTATGAATCTCTCACTATTTTGATTATGATATTTGGACTTATAAAAATACAGTTATTGCTTTTACAATGTTATAAAAATTCAAATATATATTAATTCGTTTTATTTAATTTTAAAACTTTTTTATAAAATTCCATGGGGGCCCAAAGTGCACATAGGCCCACCATATGGCATGTGGGTGGGGGGCCCACATATGCCACAAAGGGGTGGCACACCCCACCCTTTGGATTCTCTTTAATTGCTTTGTGTTCAAGACTTTAAGTTAAGGTAAGTTTGATTTGTGGCATGTGGTCAAATCTTGGAAGGGAAATATTGACCATGGCTTTATTTGTTTTATAGCAAGTTTGCTTTAAAGAATATGATCAATTTGAATATTGACCTTATCTTATTTATATTTGGTAGTATTTATTTACTTGATAATATTTGACATATCCTTATGGAATATGTGACATAGATCATGCAATTTTATGGAATGCATGATATTTATTTTATTTAAATATATTGATGGGAAAATGGTTTAAAGAAAATGGGATAATGGTTCAAACACCTTCCATAATGTTGATGACACATCTATAGAATGGATGGCTCAGATCTCTCACCCGACAAGTCACCTTAATCAACGGTCTAGATTCAATCTCATGAAAGAGGCAAACTATGAAAAAACCCTAAAAACCCTAAACCTAAATATCCACTATAAATAAGGGTGCTCTCCCCACAATCTCTACACATAACATCTCTCTCTCCTATAACCTCTCTCTCAGCTCTCTCTCTACTCCATATTTCTCTCTCCAAAACCATAGGTAGTACTCTCTCTTCTCTTTAGACCTAAGTTAATTTTAAAGGTTAGAACGATTATAGGAGGGCCTAAGTTAATTTTGGAGTTTAAGGTTTAGTAGAGATTTTAAAAGGTGGTTACTTAGTTTGACCGAAATCTGTTACCAGTTCGAGATTGAAGCTAGACCACAGATCTCGTGCCATTAGATATGGTGACTCGGTGTAAGGTGTAAAAAACCCGGTTGAAGTAATATTCGACATCTTTTCTTTTATTTGTTTGTTCTTTTATTTTATATTCTCAAGCACAATATTAGGTTGTATCAATGGCATCAAGTAGTTAAGATTTATTTTATTGATGTGTTATTTATTTTTGGAATTTCTATTGTTTGTAATAAGACCATCTATGAGTGATCTTGTTGCCAAAATTACAAGTAGTGATTATTATTAAAAAAAAAAAATTATATTTCCCTGACAAAAGATCACATAGGTCTTTCTTTCAACATTAACCTACTCTTTTATTGCGATTGAGGCTCTTAGCTCGGTGGTTGGGGCATTGGATCCGGATCAATGGCATTAAGAGCTTCTCATTTTTACTGTTATCGTAAAAGCAACAATCATCGAGTAAAAGTACCCTTCATATTGATGAATAACTAGGAGTCATATTCAACCACTTAGGGACCTACAAACATTAAATTTTCATAGTGAAACAGTTGGGAGTCAGCACCCTTTGTATAACTAGAAAATTGCCCAATAAGCCATTTCCATCATATCAAAACACATTGCTGGGGGGACATGACCTCCTTTTTCTAGTGTTACAGCCTGTTAGAGTCATATTCAACCCTTTATGGACCTACAAACATTAAATTTTCATACTGAAACAGTTGGGAGTCAGCTCCCTTTGTAGAACTAGAAAATTTGCAACACCAGAACATGGCCCAGTAAGCCATTTCCATCACATTAAAACACATTGCAGGGGACGACTTACCCCCTTTTTCAAAGAGTGACAGCCTGTTATATATCTTCCACTATCTTCACATGGGCCTTGGACCACAGCACTTCTGTCTCCATCGCAGGATGAGCCCTATACTTGTATCTCTTTGCTACGTAGACGAAAATCAAGAAGTTAATCAAGTTCAAAACAGCCAAGACCCAATAGAAGTAATCAAACCTCCCAAGATTTATGTTCTGAGTTAACCAAGACTCCTGTGAGATCTTCTTCGAAACCGAGTCTACAATGTTATTCAATAAAGTGGCAACAAAGCACCCCAAACCTCCGGCTATTGCGGCATAGGCAGAGCCCACGCTCCTCATAGCATCAGGGGCCTCTTGATAGAGAAATTCAAGCAAACCCACTAAGCAAAAAACTTCAGCTAAGCCAATAAAGCAATATTGGATCAAAAGCCAATATGAACTTAGATTTGGCATGGATTGTAAGAAATTGAATTCAAACCCATGTTGAATTGCATAATTCCTTCTATACCTCTCAAAAGCACCAGCCCAAGCCACTGATATTGTTGATAAAACAAGCCCAAACCCAACTCTTTGAAGCTGAGATGCTCCATGGGGGTGGCCAGTTATGCGCTGAGAGAAAGGGACGAAAGCCCAATAATAGAAGATTATCAGAAACAAGATGCTTAGACATGGGAATACAAGCATGCAAGGGATTGGGAGTTTGAAGTGGCCCAGATGGGTGTTAAGGGTATAAGCTTGTTGGACTGAGAGAGTGAGGTATTCTGTTAATACTGTGCTTAGAATGATTGTGCAGGTCGGTATGGGGATGATTTTCAACAGTATCTTCACCTCCTCTACTTGGGTTACAGTGCAAAGCCTCCACGGACTCGGATTAAATCCATCTTCTTCCGTCCTCAGTGCTGCCTTGTCTAGAAACCTGGATACCAAGGAAAGAAAATGGTTATTTTACTGGGATTATATATTCTTTCAGGCATAAAAGACAAGTAAGCTAAAGAAGATGCATGGTGAGGTAAACATAAGGCAAGGATTGATTCTAAAGGGATGCTAATGCATTTAGTGCACAAAGAAGAAAATGCAACTCTTGATCTGTGAATGACAATTTGAAATTGTATAAAGAGAACCGCAAGAGAAAAGATTTAGTGGAAGCTTCGACGATGTCAAACGACCAATAAACATAAGAACAGCGGAGAGATTATAGTAGAGCGTATAAAAGAAGTGCTTCCACTCTTAATTTTCATGAAGAAAATGCAGGTCTTAAATGTAATGTAAGAATTTAAACTGCATGAAAAATCCAAGAAACAAAAAAGCCATAGTAAAGCTAAACAAGAGAGAAAATGGTGGTAAGTGAGGTGCAAATAAAAGTATGGTAACAGCAGATACAAGTGGGGCACAATGAAGATATGCAGCTATTACAGAAGATAAGAAATTCATGCTATTCAAAAGCTCCAAGCCAGGACAAGGACATCATAGATTATGGAGAAGATGGTGTAAAGGAGAAAATAGAACAATGGTAACAGCAGTTATAAAGAAGTTACTGTTGTGAATTTCCATGAAGAAAATGCAGTTCTAAAAGAGGATGCAAGAGTTCAAACCATATCATAGCTACATCTAGAAAAAAATAAAATAAATAAAGCTAGACAATAGGGAAGATGGTGGTTTGGAAACCTTTAGTTACTTAGATAATTCAAGCTATACCAAAACTGCATTTGAAGGGAAAATAATGTAATCCCCCTTCTCCCTAATTAATAGGCCAAATAAACCCTTGGGTCCACCAAACCCCATGGAACCCCTTGTTGGGGTCACCCACTTAAAGCCCTCTTGCCCAGATGCAGATATGCACTGTGGAAACAGGATATATCGAACACAAAATATGCCAAAGTCGATGTGTCTGTTTGAGTGGGAAAACAAGCAATAAAGCAAATAACGAAATAAATCTTGCTGACACTGGATTTATGTGGTTCACCTTTTCAAGCTACGTCCACGGGAAAAAGAGACGCATCCACTATCAATTCAAAGGTTATAATAGTCTTCCAAGAAACAACATTTCTTGGGATCACCGATTTGTGAAGAGTCTAAGGCTTCTCTGAAGAGACTCCGTGTCCATTAATCGTATGAATATACAGATTTGTCTCTTATAGACAAATTATAGATCAGAAAATATAGAAATAAATCACAAATTCCTATATTATACCCAATTTTACCATAAATATAAGATATTGTATCTAACTTTTCCAAATATACAGATTACAATATACACCTTCCATATTAACCTTATAACAATATATACTTTCCTTTCATACTCCCCCTCAAACTCAAGATGCTATGAGAGAGAGCTGCTGGAGTTTGAACACTAATTCCGAAAGGTGTATAGCATGACTAGTAGATGCAACGGTTGTCATGCTCAGATTGCTTGATCAATAAGCACAAAAAACAACAGCGGATCAACAAGCCTCAGGAACATATGGCCTCAGGAACTCAAGGCCATATCAAAGTAGGCTCGATCAGACAAAAACTCCAAACAAAGCAGTCGAGACAGTTGAGAGAACAGAATGACACTTGGAACAGCCAATAGAACTTGGTGTGGATCTGAGACGGATTCAGCAGCTCGTAGACCAGAACAAACATGATCGAGTAACATGACAACAAACTCAATCAAACAACACAAAGACGAACTCAGAAAATCCACTCTCTTTTTTTACAAATTTAGAGGGGTTTACTAACAAATTTAGAGGGGTTTACTAACAGATCTGACTGGGACTGGGCGAATGGCTGATTTTAAAAAAAGGTTGTTCTTCAGAAGGGCAAAACACCTTATTTTATTTTTCTTTTTCTTTATTTTTGTAACAACGAAAATTGGGCGCCACGATATACAAAAGTGGTTCGTCAAAATTTCCACAATTTACCGACACAAGCATAAAGATTCAGACTTTTCATTGGGACGAGCAAGAAACCATAAGAACCATCAACAATTGCAAGACCAAATCAACATAGCGGACCACCAAGAAACAATAACGACACCAACACCTTTCCTTTAAGATATATGACTTTTTCAAAGAAACCCACTTTTTGATGGAAACGTACAAGCAAAACGTCCAAATATGCTCCAACAAAGACGGAGAGAGGCGATGGTAGTGGAGGCCAAGTGGTCGCATGACGAGATGACATCAAGACGGATCACAAGCAGGGGTAGAAAAATCCATGGAAGGGCATATTACAAGGGACTACTTCAGCAATTGGCACAACAGAATCAACAACATGTTAAATCAGAGCATGTAAAACCACCGCAGCTTGGTCGCAACAACAGAACAGAAATGCCTCCGAACCTCGCAACAACAAACAAAACAGAAATGCCTTTGAAACACAGCTGGCAGTAGTAGAATGTAGTCTTCAATCGTATGTCGAGCTTTGAGTTGGAAACAAAAGAACATACACCACTTATCTCTTACAAATCAGTCAGACAATCCCAGAGAGACAGTGGATCTGAGAAATTACTGAGAAAAAAAACTCAGAAAGAAAAACAGATAAGAGAGTCGAAAATGACTCGACAGAGAGACAGATCCGATAGTTGAAACACGACTCAACAAATAGTCGAAACACGACTCGACAGAAGTTGCACCAATTGGGTGAGCAACAGACTCGTCTTGAAAATCGGCGACAATGCTTCAGAGACGAGAAATGGACACAATGCTCTGATACCATGTGAAGAGTCGCAGGTTTCTTTGAAGAGACTCTGTGTCCATTAATCGTATGAATATACAGACTTGACTTTTATAGACAAATTATAAATAAGAAAATATAGAAATAAATCACAGATTCCTATACTATATCCAGTCTGACCATAAATATAAGATACTATATCTACCCTTCCCAAATATATAGATTACAATATACACATTCCATATTAACCTGATAACAATATATACTTTCCTTTCACACAATTTCATCTAGAGACTTCTCTCTCTAGGATTTCCCTCTCTGATCTCATAGACTTCTTTTCTTACTAGATGCTTTCTCTCTCTAAAAGAGAAAATTCTCTCTTTCTCTCCTTTTTCTTCCTTTCTCCCTCTTTTCTTTCTCAATAAAGAAAAAACTAGAGAAAATGATCACTGGCGCTCTTTCATCTTCTTCTCTCTAAGAAGAGGGATAACTCTATCTCTCTTCTTCTCTCATAGAGAAGGATAACTCTCTCTCTCTTCTTCTCTCACAGAGAACTTTGCACCTCTATCTTCTTCTTCTCCTCTACAAAAGGAAGCTTCTTGTATTTTTCAATACTCCAAAAAGAATCCGCCCAAAGAAATGGCCCAGAGAGATGCCAAAAATAGCCCAGAGAGATGGCTTTGGTCCAACCATCCAAGAGCACACAAGTAGCCTCTCACATATTCCTTTTTATGTATAGGCTAAGAGATAACAACCATATTTAGAAGTCTATCACATAACCTCCTAAAAGGGAGGTCCAACTCTATCTCCTTTTTAAAAGAGATAAGAGGAATATCTTCCCATACCAAAACTATACGTGAGATCCTATTTTTGTGTGGGATGGTGAGTTGGTCAACAAGTCACCCTCTTCCATTTCTCAAACTACCCTATAACAAAGAAAACAATTCCATTGGTGTTCCTCCCTCATGGGAGGGGACCCCAACACCCCTCACATTGTAATTTAAAAGCCAAATACCCCATTCCTCTTTTTGGTATATACAAATTATGTCTATAACCTTGTTCAATCCATAAAACCCAAATTTGGTCCAAGTTAAACATAATAACCCATCTTTTCCTGTTCTCTCTCT